GCAGTTTGTGTACCTGTGCTTTTACAAATGCTTAATATACAGTAGTTGGTTTTTGCATACCTCCCTACCTACTAGACCATAGGCCCCTTGTGAACTGAGATTACATCCACTTATCTATCTCTATACTCCTCACAGCTGAGACAAAGCAGAGCCCAACATACACTTGTTACATAAATGCAAAAATCCTTTTCATTGCTATGATAGACAGATTCAATTGAAGATGTATTGATATCCCCAAATGCCACTCAAATATTTATTGTAATATTTCTGATGCTTCTTATCTACTCTGAAAATTATGTGAAAAGTACATGATATTTTGTGCTTACAACAAAAAACTTATTGAAGACAAAAAGATTGAAGAATATATTATATAATCAGACTACATCTTGCACTTTAAACTTTCAAGTCAGGTAAATCAATAAGTAAGTAATGAAACCATTTTACATGGGTATTTTGTTGGAAAAGATGAAAACTATATGTTCCTTAAAGTTTCCGTTTTCACTTAACTGGAAAAACTTCATACAGAATAATGGGAAGTAAACTGACATATTTGTAAGCTATGCAAGAATTAGTGATAAGAATGTTGAGAATTAAATACAAAATAAATAGCTAAAGAGTAGCCATGTAAATTACTTTAAGGCATATTTAAAGTATTTGGAAGTATTAAGGAATTTCAGTATTTAATACCTTCACTGTGGATAAAAAAGGTAAACATTCAGCTAGTGATGTGGGTAAAACGCTAAGGAGACGATGTCCTACTTTGTCACAGCAAGCAGATTACAGCCACAAAGACCACCACCCAGCTCGATTATTATCTGGCTTCCTTAACGTTTCATCTTTGAGGCAAGACCACTGACGGTAACTCAAACACCCCATCCATTTGGTAGACATATTTTTACATCAGTTAGAACAGGGGCCCTCAAAGTTTTTAAACAGGGGGCCAGTTCACTCTCCCTCAGATCATTGGAGACCCAGACTGTGGGCCCCGGGACGAGTCAGCTGCTAAGCAGGACAGGCAGCAGCGGCAAAAACACCCAGCGGGCCAGATAAATGTCCTAGGCGGGCTACATGTGGCCTGTGGGCTGTAGTTTGAGGACACCTGAGTTAGAAGTTTGGTGATGTCTGCATGTTGAAAAAGGATAACTTCTGGGTTCACTAATAACCAAAATTTCTGAGCCTACAAAAATAAATCTGAAATTAGGTAACTATGCTAGCTTCACACTACCCTATAAAGTAATCAACAAAGCTTAATTTCTTAGCACAAAACTTTTTAGAACAGAAACAACGGTGGTGAGCAGATAACTAATGTGAAGTTTTTATTGAGCAACCAGAATCATGAAAGTGAGATTTTCCTCATCACTTTCATTCATTACCATATTGTCAAATATCTAGATATTGATTACAGTTGTTTTTCTTCTATTCTTCTTTTTCTCCTTCTCTCTCTCTCTCTCTTTTTTTTTTTTTTTTTGGTTTAACTTGGATAGTGAGAATGAATTATGCCATGCATTAAATAGGCATCTCACAGTTTAACACTCTGGATTTTAGGAAATAAATTTAATTCCAATTAGTTTATATATAGTGGCTTTATTTAAATTAATGAAATTTTTGTATGTATTTTTAATATAATTTAAAGCCAAATATAATAGCCTAATGTGTCAGGTTATTCTCATCAGTCATTAAAGTGATATTAATGTAATTTTTTAACATTATGACTAATTTCTTACAGAATGTATCTGAGTGAAAGCAATTTATTGCATTCTCTATTTATATGAATAATTTTATATAGACAATTGAAATAACAGATGTCTGCTATTTGCAAAAATGAATCAGCTTCTTTTGAGGACAATGACACACACACACACATATACATATTATTGAAAGATTCCTAGTTGACACAATTCTATAAAATTATGTTTAATGGAATAATTTATTAAGGTTATATACGGTATTTATTACACACACCTATACCATTATATCAAACCAAATGAAGTACAGTGGGTGGATGGTACTGAGTTTTGGATAATTAGAATAGCTGGTGATCTGAAAAATTAAAGTAGATCAATTTTGGCTGAGCTATGTGTTTTACTTTCATGCCATTGAAAAGAAAAAACAGTCAAAATAGCTTGTATAATATTCCAGAACTGGGTTATTTTGAGGAACTTCTGAAATGGATCAAGGATTTATTAAAATAGTCAAAAGAGTTAAAATTCCTATTCATACAAAAGATAAAAAGCAACTCTTGAAAAATTGTAAAATAGGTATAAAATTGATCCCTTAATATCTCTGTGGCTCTTACCAAGCTCTTTAATTCTTCTGAGTCAGATTCTCTATCTTTAAAATGGAATCACCAAATTTCAACACCTGAAATAGGCATCTTTTTCAAGGACGCTCCCCTTGATGAAAAATTTCTCTACATCCAATGTTTCAAATTTTTCAGATTCCTATTATTGGCTTTATGTTACTTAAAGGGTCTGTTATCCATCCCCATTGAATACCCACCCCCCCAGAGGATTTAGCATTTTTGAGAAAAGACACCTGCCTTACTGTATTTCCTGCATTAAATGGACTCAACATACTATTTAGTATTAATTAGATCAAATTTAAAGTACTAGTTCCTCAGAGAAGTTAATGTGGATTCACTGAAATCTCTGATGTGAAGGTGCTTAATAGCTCTTGACACAGTCTAGTGCTCCATAGATTTTAGTGTTTCTATTTTAGTTTCTACATGTTGCAAAATGAACAGATCCTAACTCCCAAGATTTCAAGCTAAGCCAAATTCTCCAAGCCAAAGTAAAATAGAGGCATCATGGGCATAAAATGGAAAATATTAAATGGAAAAGAGAACTGAGACAGAGCTGCTTCAAATTCCAGAGGGAACAATGGCTGTGTTAGCTCAAAAAGTGGAGGCTCTGAGAAAAGGTTCAGTTAGTATCATGAACACTGTTGCCGTCATCTGCATGGGCCTCATGAGCTTCACCCTTGTCTGGTCCGTAGCCGCATCAGCTGACCAATGAGAATCTATGAAACACACAGAGAAGTAAGCAACTTTTTTCATCATTAAGAACTGAATTGTCAACATAGTGACAGAGTCTGGCAAGAACTAATTTTAATTATCTGGTTGGCAGTGCGGGCTTCAGGAAAATTTACTCAGCTCATGAGAGATTTTGACTTCTCTTAGGGAAAAAGACAACATCTGAGAAAAGGTAAGACAATATCGTCTATTATTTGCAACACTTTACCTGTAGTTCAGAGACTTGACAAGGAGATAATTATGTTTTGCTCAGACAGTGCACAGAAAATACAGTCACATGGGCAGGGCTATGGTGCATTCTGAGGAGTGTAGAACCCACAGATAAACAACATCTGCAAGGTATAGATGAGCAAAAGCCTGGGGAAACGTGGGCTGTGAACCCCCATGGCCTGTGGCCAGTCTGCTTCCTGTGTCAGTGGGTCTGGAGGGCTGTGAAGTTAGACTAATGCTCAAGCCTCCTGGGTGCCGGACCTGAGAAGTGCACTGGGGTCTGCACATTGGCCTGCTACCCAGCAGCGGAAGTTAGAAGAGCCAACCATGGCTGGACAGAACAGCAGGGCCAAAACTCGTGTTTCATCCCAACATATGCCAAATACTATGTTTCACTGAAGGTCAAGTAAAGAAATCACCCACACACACAGAGACACACACACACACACATAGACACACATAGACGCACACACACAGAAACACACACAGACACACACAGAGAGACACACACAGACACACACAGAGAGACACACACAGAGAGACACACACAGACACACATAGACACACATAGACACACACACACAGAGACACACACAGACACACACACAGACACACATAGATACACACAGACACACACAGAGAGAGACACACACACAGACACACACAGACACACAGAGAGAGAGACACACACACATAGACACACACAGACACACACAGAGAGACACACACACACAGACACACACAGGATTTACAAAGGAATACTACAGAATACATAAGTGCAGACAAAAGAGAAGAGTCAATTTCCAGCGATAATAAATATGCCCCAGCCTTTCCTCCAGTGATTACAAACTCAGCCTTACAGGGGGATAGGAAGATAGAAAGATAGGTGTAGGTAGATGTAGATAGATGTCTACAGCTGAATGGAAATCAACACTGCACAAGATAGTGGACCCTGGAGTCCATGTACCTCATCCCAAAGGGAAACTAGAAGTCAACCCTCACTGCCTGTTGCTGGTGCACATTTGAGCCTACTGCCACTGAATTAGGTTTTTCAAATGAGGCTGAATGTCCAGATTTTTATGGGAGTTGGCCCAATATTCGTAGTATTGTGTGTGTCAAATCACATGTGTCTCCAGGCCATATGTGGCCCAGAAGAACCAATATCTTACCTTCCTCATGCACTGGACAAGAATGCATTAAATACTTAAGTCTGAAAATGTTAGGAACACAAAAACTTAATTATCAGAACTATAATATTTTACACTGGGACTTTGTCAGCACGAGGAAGCAAAACATAAATAAGCAAGCAAATAAAAATCAGAGCTATCTATTAAGGAAATTGGGATGTAATCATCTAGGTTTGTTTTTGAAATGCAAGTTTAACTCAGCATTGAGATATCATAGGTGATATGAAATAAATCTTTTGACAGCAAAACAGGCAGTGAGATTCAATATACACTCCTGAAAATCCATAGAATGGAAAAAAATATTTGGAAATGATACATTAGATAAAGGATTTGTATTCAGAATATATATGGAATTTTGCAACTCAACAATATAATGACAACCTGATTAAAAAAAAATGGTCAATGGATTTGAACAGACATTTTTCCAAAGAAGAGATACAAGTGGTAAACCAGCACAGGAAAAGATGCTCAGTGAAATTAGTTATCAAGTTAATGCAGATAAGAACACAGTGGGTACCTCTTTATACCCAAGGGAATGACTAAAATAAAAATTAAAAAAAAAGACATACAACATACTCTGGTTTCTCGTCACATCACATCAATCTTTCACCTTTTGCAAAAGATTTCCATGGAGAGGAACAATTCTGTCCCTTTACCCAATTTTTTGAGGTCTTCCATTTGCAAAGATCAAAAGTATATATAAAACACAAAGTTTTGGCAAGGAATGGGAGATAACGAACCTCACATATTGCTGGTGGGAATGTGGCACGACTACTTTGGAAAATAGCTTGGCTATTCCTAAAAACATTAAATATAAGATTACCAGATGACCCTGTAATTCTACACCTGGTTATATACCCAAGAAAATGGAAAAATCATGTTCACATAAACCACATACACCATGTTCATAGCAACGTTATAAATAATAGCCAAAAAGCAGAAACAAACCCAAGTGTCCGTTAATGAATCAAAGGATAAGCAAAATGTGCTATGTATGAACAATGCACAATGCAAAATAAAGTCCTAGAATGAAATACTGATCTCCACTGCAGAGTGAATAAACTTTAAAAAAATAAGTAAGTGAAAGCATGCAGACACAAGGTTTACTGATTGTGTAATTGCTGTGATTTACGTCTCTGGAATAGGAAAATTCAGAAAGACAAAGTAGATAGGGGGCTGCGGGGACTGGAGGAAGAGAAATGAATGAGGACCATCTGCTCACGGGGACACCGATATTTTGGACTTAGATTGCACAGAGTCATGAATGTATTAAAACCACTGAATTGTCCTCTTTAAAAGGATGCATGCATATATGTAAATTATGTTTCAAAGAAATGGGTTTTAGACAACAAATTAGAAACAGATTCTTCTTAAATAGTACAGATTAATAAGAGGTTTTCATACCAATCCTCCACTAGAGTGGTAGGAAAAAGGAAAGATAATATAAAGACAGCATTACAGGTGTGGCCCAGAAACTGTACTGGTGGTTTGTTTGCACAATGCTTTCGAGTTAGGAAACCCCACTCTGTTCTGTTCCCAATGTGGGAACCAGAGCTCCTGGCAGAGGGGGCCCCACGTCCCTGGAAATCTATGAGCTTCAAAGAGAAAAAAACAGGGTCAATGGAAAGATTTGAGAAGAAAATTCATCTATAAAAAAAAAGAACAAGATACAGGCAGCACCTGTGGCTCAAAGGAGTAGGGTGCCAGCTCCATATGCTGGAGGTGGTGGGTTCAAACCCAGCCCTGGCCAAAAACTGCAACAAAACAAAACATAACAAAAACAAGATACTATGGGACAAATATAAAAAATAATATTTGGACAAATGAAAGTATGATTTAAGAATTTTTAAAATATTCAATAACTGGTAGAAATTCAAAACCAAGGAAATAGCCAAGAAAATGGAACAAAAAGTGAAAGGGCTAGAAAATAATGGTGAACAGATGCAGACAGTGATATGGGAGATTATGCCAGGAAATTGAAATTCAATTATTTTAACTAATAGAAATTCTTGAAAGAAAGAACAGAGAAAATAGATGAGGGAATGGTCAAAAATCAAACATAAAATATTTTCTCCAATAGTCAGGAGTCTATAGGCAATAAAAGCTTAAGAAATGCCCAACAAAATTAATTACAAAAGAATCCTAATGAATATGTCACTTAATAATTACAATAGTAGGTTTGAAGAGAAGTTTTTGAAACTTCCAGAATAAAAATAACTATAGGGCAGTGCCCATGGCTCAAGGAGTAGGGCACTGGGCCCATATGCCAGAGGTGGCCAGTTCAAACCCAGACCTGGCCAAAAACTGCAACAACAACAACAACAACAAAAAACCCCCACAAAACATGAGAATCAGAAGCCATCAGATTTCCCATTAGTAACAATAAAAACCACATATGAGAGGATCAATGTCTCCAGAGTTGTAATACATTGTAACTTAGAATTTTCTTGCAGCAAGACTTTCAGTGAAGAAAAATATTAGAATAAAGAAATTTTTTAATTATAAGGACTCAAAGTTTGCATAAAATTTTGCAACTTTGTATATAGAAAATGACATCAGACACAAAGTAAAAAGACATATGGTCAGTCTTTCCACTGAGAAGTACTGAAAGAAACACCGGATCATACGTTCAGACATCTTAATGCTTGGCTGCACAGGTGAGTACAAAGGAAAGTTCTTAATTGCCAAAAGTGAGCAAGAACAGAAATCTGGAAATATAAGCCACGTGGAACCTGTTGGCCCCTGTGAGGAGCCAGCAGGGAGCAGGGACAAGGCTGGAGGCCTCGGTGTAGAGGGCACTAGAATGAAGACCTGTGCAGGAAGCAGGACCCCGGAGGGCCACGTGCTCAGGAGAAGGCTGCAAACATCCTGGCTGGCCTTGGGGAAAGCAAACACCAAACATTTTCCCCCCTCCACCCCCCGCCGAACACACCTGCGACCATTGGCTGTTCCTCCTGTTGCTATGGGGCCTCAATTCATGCCACCTGTGTGCTTTTAAATTTATTTTTCTGTGGGAGTATAAATTGAGCTAACTTTATAGAATTTGGCTTGGCAAAAACACATAAAATGAAAAATTGATCTTTGTGCCAGGAATCCTACTTCTAGATTTATCCACTCATACAGGTGGACACACACACACACACACAAATCTACAAGAATGTTCTCAAAAGTAAAAAAAGAAAGTAACTACTAGATGTCCATCAATAGGGGATGATTCAACCACTTTACACAGTAATAGTTGGCAGCTACTATATAAAATATATTAAAATAAATGAACTATTTTTTTTTTTTTGAGGAGTTTCACTCCACAAAGTGGGAGTCTTACTTTGTCATCCTTAGGAGAGTGCCGTAGTGTCACAGCTCATAGCAACCTCTAACTCTTGGGCTTAAGTGATTCTTTTGCCTGAGCCTGCCAAGTAGCTGGGCCTACAGGCACCCACCACAGTGCCCGGCTATTTAGGAATTGTAGTTGTCACTGTTGTTTGGCAGGCCTGGGCTGGATTCAAACCTGCCAGCTCCAGTGTACGTGGCTGGTGCCCTAGCCACTGAGCACAGGTGCTGGACCAAAATAAATGAACTATTGATCACACTTACCATTTCAACAAATCTTCAAGTGGAGCAGGGTAAATGATAGAAATCACCCCTGTTCCTTGTTGCTCATTCTGGTTTCTGTTACCTGAGACAGAAGCACTGAATATTAGACTCCTTCTAAGTAAATAATTCTAGGAGAAACACATCTGTGACCTAAGAGAGTGGAAGGGGAAATTAGGAATAAAATGGTATGTACATGTATAAGAAGTAAGTTGAACACAGAAACCAACAAAATTCAATCTTTTGTAAATGTAGCTGGAGTGAATTTCAATTCACAAACTCAGTGTGTATATGTGTATATGTGTGTGTGTGTGTGTGTGTGTATAATTTGGTATCTAAAAACTTTGATTCCAAGCAGAAATAGAATATTCAACTTTATTTTCAGTCCTTGGGGTGGCGTAAACATCCCATGGCTTAATAATGAGATGCCTTTATAATACTCAGGCGGCTCAGATCATGGCTGCCCACATGCTGGGCCAGGCTCAGGACCTGAATTCCTACCTCTCATAGGTACAGATGCAATTTCCCTTCTGAGTTCTGCCATCCAGTGGGGCTCCCAGCATCACTGTGAGTCCCACATCATGAACACAGAGACATAACAGCAGCAAAGCCCATTGACCCAGAGACCCTGCTCTCAGGACCCAGAGACCTCATTCCCCTTTGGAGTGTCCTGGGATGTGTCCCCATCCCTTCCTGACTAGCAGAGCTTCCCTGGGATGTGTCCCTATCCCTTCCCTGACTAGCAGGGCTTTCCTGCCGCACAGACCCTCTAGAAAACCCAGAGTAATCACTGTGGCTTCTACTAATCACAGGGAGAAATAGGCTGTGTTTGCTTTATCTCAGCTAAAAACTCCAGGGAGGAGGGGTGTAGGGTGAAAATGTATAAAAGAATTATAAATTCTGGCTGCTTGCTCAAAATGAGGGGAAAGGGAAAATTATAAAAAGTACAAAAAATCAATTTTCTATTTTAGTAACTTATCTTGGCTCTCCAAAGACAGAAGATTTAAGCCTGTCAAATTTAAAGCACAATGAAAATACCTATGTTAAGAAAAACATCAGAGAAAACAAAGGTTTGTCCATTTTAAAATCAAGTTTTAAATAAAACTGTAACATCAAACTGAAAGAGAAAGAGAAACAATTATTTACAAACTCAGAATGTAAAACTAACAGAAAATTTAAAGGCTGCAGCTTAGCAGGTAACTTCCCTGAAGGAATTGGTGTCTGGTGCTTTCTGTTTGTAGGGCTTGCTTCAGAAGCTGTCTTCATGGCAATGTATGGAAAACATTATCAAATATAAACTGATAATTAATTTTATATAAATTATAGTTTATATATTCCAATATTATAAAACATTAATCTATCCTAACGTATAAAACATTAGTCTATCCTAACATATACTGTTAATAATAATTTTAATTCATCTAAAAAGAAAAATGTTTTTTTATGTAACCAATTTCAAAGTTCATCCTAAAAAAAAAAATTAAGAAAGAGTGATGTTCTCTTGAATTCAAATTCCTGATGTTTATAGAAAAGTAGATTTTTTAAACTTTCATTAAAAAGTTAACATATCTATAAGTATTGCTAACCTAACTCCCAACAAAACAGAAATCAGTTACATAAAACTAAACTAATTTATTATAATTTTATATAAAGTATTATTGATTCTGTCTATGTTCTGTTTTCCAGAAATAAAAAAAAAACTATTTTCTGTCTTTTAAACTATTTGTAACTTTTCAAGCCATATATATATATATACACTTATAAACAGAGTTTAAAACATGTATTTTTTTCTCTCTCCTTAATTTCTCCAGAATTTACAAACCATTTATAAGTATTCTTAATTTCTAACAATACAGTTATTTACATAAGTTCAATAAAAATCTGTTTTGTTCTATAAGACATAATAAAAACACTGGTTATTTTACCAAGGCTTTGGCTGAAATAACATTTCCAAAGATGTCCAGAGTACATTAAGGGATTAAAGTTGACTTTATAAAGCCAATAAAAAGCTCTTTGGAAAACTGGCCAAATACCCATCAGTAAAATTTCCTAACCTGTAATAAGTAACAAAGGTGACTTACTGACAGGTCCAGGAATT